TTGTTATCTCAGATTCTCCAGCATCTGCAGTTCCTACTACCCCTAACCAACTACCTTGTTGCTATGGGCATTCACAGCAAGGTCCCGAGGATCGTCAGCACTTTGCAGGGTCTTAGCATCATTGTGTATTCCCTTGAATCCTTCTTCCTTCCAAAATCCATCACTTGCACTTGACAAGATTAAACTCCATCTGCCAATGTTGGCTCAACTAACCAACCCATCTATACTATCCTGTAACCAAGGCTTTCTACTCACGATTCACCACATCACCACTTTAAAGTCGTCTGATCAAGCCTCTTACATTTGTATCTAGATCATTAATGTACACTAGAAACAGCAAAGCTTCCAGTATCAAACCTTACAATATGTAACTGAACAGAAGCTTCTAGTCACAGGAATTACCACCAACCAGCACCCTCTGCCACATTGAATTAAGCGAATATTGTACCCAATTTGTCAAACTACCTGAGCTCCGAAGGACTTGGACCTTCTTAACCTGACTCCCATGCGACACCTTGTCAAAAAACCTAACTGAAGTCCATGTAGGCTGCCCTCTTCTACATATTTCGTTGCATCAAAAATTAGAATCAATTTCTTATCCTATTTAGATTCTTATACCTACACCATCCTTCTCTACTGAGAGTAATGATGCACAGTATTCATTTAAAACCCCACCTGAGTCTTCTGGCTCCGCACACGTTGCCAGTTCAGTCCTTAACATGGCGTCCTTTTTAGCTTGTTACCACCTTGCCCCTAATATAAAACACATTTGGATGATCCTTTACTATATTTTCCAAAATTTTTGCAAGCTCCCTCTTTGCTTTCATTTCTTTGGAATCTGAAATTCTTAACCTATTTTGTAATATCAGTCATCTTGTCAATTCAACCTGAAAACACAGGAATATACGCTATCTCATTAAAATGTCCTATAACATATTCATACAGCACATAACTATGGAGCTCAAGCTATACTCTAAGTAAGGAAGACTTGCATTTAAAAAGCATGTTTCAAGATCACCAGACGTCACAATGCACCTTACAGTCACAGAGGCATAGAGTCATACAGCACAGAAACAGACCATTTGGTCCAACCAGTCCACGCTGAACGAAATTCCAAACTAAACTAGACCCACCTACCTGCTCCTGGCCCATATCCCTCCAAATCTTTCCTGTTCGTGTACTTATCCAAATGTCTTTTAAACATTGTAATTGTACCCGCTACCACCACTTCCTCTGGAAGTTCATTCCACACTCTGTATAAAAAAAGTTGCCTCTTACGTCTTATTTAGATCTCTCTCCTCTCACCTTAAAAATGTGCCCTCTAGTCTTGAACTCCCCCACTTGAGGGAAAAGACAACTACCTCTCATTATGTTATAAACTTCTATCAGGCTGCCTCTCAACCTCCTTCGCTCCAGTGAAAAAACTCCCAGCCTATCCAGCCGTTCTTATAACTCAAACATTCCATGCCTGGCAACATCTTGGTAAATCTCTTCTGACCCTCTCCAGCTCGATAATATCCTTCCTATAACGGGGCGACCAGAGATGGACAGAGTATTTCAGAAGAGGCCTCGCGGATGTCCTGTACAACCTCAACCTGATGTCCCAACTTCTGTACTCAAAGGGCTGAGCTATGAAGGTTAGTGTGCCAAACACCTTTTTAGCCATCCTGTCTATATGTGACGTCAACTTCAAAGAATTATGTACCAGCACCCCTAGGCCCCCCTGTGAAACAACACTACCCAAGACCCTACCATTAACTGTATAAGTCTGACCAGTGTTTGTTGTACCAAAACGCAATACCTCGCATTTATCTGGACTGAACTCCGTCGGCCATTTTTCAGCCCATTGACCCATTTGATCAAGATCCCTCTGTAATCTTAGAAACCCTTCTTGACTGTCTACAATGCATCAATTTTGGTGTCATCCGAAAGCTTACTAATCATGCCTTCTACACTCTCATCCAAATCATTTATACAAATGACAAACAAAAGAGGACGCAGAACCAATCTCCGTGGAAGACCGCTGGTCATGGGCCACCAGTCCAAAAAGCAACCTTCCACCATTACTCTCTGTCTACTACCGATAATTGAAGTACTTCTTGAAGTGTAGTACTTATAACAATATAACAAATGTGACAGCCAATTTGCTCATAGCAAACTGTCACAAAATGTAATCTGTTTTTGTGATGCTAACTGATGGATAAATGTTTGCCAGGACACCAGAGGTAACTCTCCTGCCCCTCAAAGTAATGCCATGGGATCTTTTACATCTACCCAAGCAGGCAAAAATGGCCTCAATTTCACATTTCATCCTGAAGACCACCCCGCCGTCATATAGCATTTCTGCAGTGTTGAGTTTGAGTGTCAGCATGAGTTTTTTGCCTAAGTTTTGAATTGGGCATTGTACACAGAACCTATGGCATAGACCTGACTGCAGTCTCCACTGAGCATTGACTAATCCTGACAAGTAACTTCCACGAGCCACACATGAGAAGGAGAACCATGCTGAATGTCAGACCCTGATCAAAGCGCAAAGCATGCTGTCTCATCTCTATACACAGTGTAATGGGGCAAGATACAGTCTTACTTCAGATTGAATAAATTGCTTAACACACTCACATTGGCCAATCGCAAAGACCAAGTCTCGCTCCTCCTGCAACTCCTTGTGCAACCGTGGCGGGCCAAAGAGAAAATGTGTGATGGCAGAAAATCCTGTCCTCCGCATGGTAGGCTGGATGTTCTTCTGTAAATGCAAATAAAATTGCTGGGCCCTATTACATCTGGAATTGTGTTCAGTAAGCTTGCAGATCCTGCAATATTTGGAATACCCTGCCCTTTATATCATACACTCTGCTGCCACGAAACATCTCTCACATCTGACCTTCTGCTTTCACACAGCTCAGGTCTCAAGCACCCTCTCAGAACACCTGGACTCCTTAACCATATCCTGCAAAATTTGTCAGATTTTTGAAGATTCTTCCAAAGAGAAGGAATAAAATCTCTGAGGCATCACTGTGAGAAGATATCATGGGAACTCAAACTTTTTGCCGAACCGTAGTTTTGAGGGAAAATCAGCAAGTGGCATTTCAAAAGAGTAATTTTCTGAAACAAACCATCAAAATTTAAGTTGAGTGTTCAGCTCTTGCTTTTCTTGTCTCACATTGCGCTTACCCTGTACTCACAGAGATCAGCTGTTTGAAAATGCTGAAGTGCTTCATTAAAAGAGATGAGTGGGGTACTTCCAGTTAAGTCACTTGGACCTGGAAGAGAACAATGCATTTCAATACAAAAACTACCATTCATCTTCAGATGATCTTTTACCCAAACAAAAGAAAATTTCAAACTCTCCACTCAGTTCAAGTTAACCAAAGTTTTCAAGAGAATGCACAGCAACTGTGATTGTACCATGTTCAGTTAACAGTGAAATACTTCATTGGAATGACAAAGTAACCTACTCCAGCAGCAGTGAACCATTGATTTCTTAAGTCAGTCTTTTGATGGTGAGGTTTGGTAAGTTCCTGCAATATGTAGCTAGGATATAGGGGCTTGTTGTCAGCTGTACTGGGACATTCTTCTGAAGGGATGTCATTTTAACTGTGGATTCCTGCTGAGCATACCAAGGTATGTTTCCAAGTGTGCTTGACATGTTGCTTTGGTATTTTACTTTGACGATCTTAGCAATTCAGGAGTCAGAATGCTGAATGTTACTGAAACACCCTGCAGCTATGTGGAGGAATCCTTACCTTCCATTTCTTTAAAGGAAATTCTGAGAAAAAGAAAAATCACTCAGCCAATCAGAGTAGAAAAAGGTGCACAGAGCTTTGCTCATTCAATTAATGCACTGAATTTTCCCTTTTGAATTTCCCATTTCATACTTCAGAGCAAGTGAACAAAAAACATAAGAAGTAGCGGAAGGGGTAGACCATACAACCCCTCAAGCCAGCTCCACACTCAATATGATCATGGCCAACCAGGGCCTCATTCTCCTTTCCATCTCAGGAGCAAATCCCTTGATTGTCTTAGAGACAAAAATATCTATCTACCTTGGTATGAAGTCAATAGAGGAGGAGGAGGAAATGAAAGACAAGGGGGACTGGATACCAGTGAGAAACAACACAAAAGGAAACCACGTTGGGCCCACACAGGCTCACAATGAAACGGAAAGAGGCAGCTGTGTGATGGACACACCAGCAACTTCTCAGACGACGAAGACGTGTGCAGGAATGGCCACCAACAAAAAAAGAGACACAGCACCATGGAGTAGAAGGAGAGGAACATCCCCAGCCTGGAAATGCTGGCCATCATGAGGGGACCAGTGAAACCCGAAATCCGACCGATAGGAAACAAGGGATACCCACCGCACAACAGCTCCGGCAGCTGGGAGCAGCAATGCTCCAAATCAGGAGCAGACAACGACAACCTCTATCGGACTCCAAACCGGATCTTCCTGGCAATGCCCCCAGGACAGTTACTTCAGCACTGAGAGCGTCCAACAGTTCACCCACAACACAGAAACACAGAAGACAAGAACAGGAGGAGGCCATTCAGCCCTTTGAACCTTCTCCACCATTCATCATGATCATGGCTGATCGTCCAACTCAATAGCCTAATCCTGCTTTCTCCCCATAACCTTTGATCCCATTCGCCCCAAATGCTAGATCTAGTCACCTCTTAAATACATTCAATGTTTTAGCATCAACTACTTTCTGTGGTAATGAATTCCACAGGCTCACCACTCTTTGAGGGAAGAAATGTCTCCTTGTTTCCATCCTAAATGGTCTACCCCGAATCCTCATACTGTGACCTCTGGTTCTGGACACACCCACCATCGGGAACATCCTCCCTGCATCTACCCTCTCCAGTCCTGTTAGAATTTTTTAGGTCTCTATGAGATTCCCCCCTCATTTGTCTGAACTCTGACAAAAACAATCTCAACCTAGTCAACGTCTCCTCATAATCAGACCCGCCGTACCCAGAATCAGCCTGGTAAGCCTTCGCTGTACTCCCTCGAGGAAGGGCATCCTTCATCAGAAAAGGAGACCAAAAATGCACACAGTATTGCAGGTGTGGTCTCACCAAGGCCCTGGACAACTGCAACAACACATTCCGGCTCCTGTACTCAAAACATCTGGCAATGGAGGCCAACATACCATTTGCCTTCTCTACTGCCTGCTGCACCTGCATGCTTACCTTCAGCAACTGGTGCACAAGGACACCCAGGTCCGGCTGCACACTCCCCTCTCCCAATTTACAGCTATTCAGGTAGTAATCTGCCTTCTCGTTTTTGCTTCCAAACTGAATAACCTCACATTTATCCAAATTATACTGCATCTGCCATTGATTTGCCCACTCACCCAACCTGTCTAGATCAGGCTGAAGGATCTCTGCATCCTCGTCACAGTTCACCCTCCCACCCAACTTGGTATCATCTGCAAACTTGGAGATGTTACATTTTGTTACCTCATCTAGATCATTAATATAGATTGTGAATTGCTGGTGTCCCATCACCAATCCCATGTGGCACCCCATTAGTTACTGCCTGCCAATTTGAAAAGGACCCATTAATTCCTCCTAATTGTTTCCTCTCTGCCAACCAGTTTCCCATCCATCTCAATACACTTCCCCCAACCCCATGCGCTTTAATCTTGTACATTAATCTCTTATGTCGGACTTTGTCAAATGCTTTCTGAAATGATTTCCCCTTCATAAATCCATGCTGACTCTGTCTAACCCTGCCACTGCTTTCTAAATGTTCTGCTATAAAATCCTTAACAGTAGATTCGAGAATTCTCCCCACCACCGATGTTAGGCTTACCGGTCTGTAATTCTCTGTTTCTCTCTACCTCCATTTTGGAATATAGGAGTGACATTAGCCACGATCCAATCTGCAGGGACTGTTCCAAAGTTTATAGAATCCTGGAAAATGACCACCAATGCACCCACTATTTCTAGAACTACTTCCTTAAGTACTCTGGGATGTAGATTTAGGGGAGGTGATGGCCTAGTGGTATTACCTCTGGACTGTTAATCCAGAGACCTAGATAATGTTCTGGGGACCCAGGTTCGAATCCCACCATGGCAGATGGTCGAATTTGATTCAATAAATATCTGGAATTAAGAATCTCATGATGACCATGAATCCATTGTCAATTGTCGGAAAAACCCATCTGGTTCACTAATGTCCTTTAGGGAAGGAAACTGCCATCCTTACCTGGTCTGGCCGACATGTGACTCCAACCCACAGCAATGTAATTTACTCTTAACCGCCCTCTGGGCATTTAGGGATGGGCAATAAATACTGGCCTAGCCAGTGATGCCCTCACCCCGTGAATGAATAAAGAGAAAAAAGATTCAGGCCCTGGGGATTTATCAGCCTTCAATCCCAACAATTTTCCCAGCACGATTTCTCTACTAAAACTGATCTCCCTCAGTTTTTCCCTCTCACTAAATCTTGCATCCTCCAACAATTCTGGTATCTGATTTGTGTCCTCTTCTGTGAAGACAGCACTAAAGTATGTATTCAGTTCCTCAGCCATTTCTTTGTCCCCTATTATTCATTCTCCTGTTCTGACTGTAGGCGACCTACTTTTGTCTTTACTAATCTCTTTCTCTTCACATACCTATAGAAACTCTTAGAGTCAGTCTTTATGCTCCCTGCAAGCTAACGTTCGTACTCTATTTTCCCCTTCTTAATCAATTCCTTGGTCCTTCTTTGCTGAATTTTAAACTGCTCCCAATCCTCAGATTGAGTCAAGTCCCAGTGAAGGGACTCCCCCAGTGACAAGACCACAGCTGAAGAGACATTGGATCTACAGTTAATTCTAGACTCTCAAAATGGGTTTTAAAATTGTCAACATAAACATGCGTCACGTTAAATTGCCTGTGCAATGTGTTTCTACGTCAGCTTATCTGGCCAATGCCAAAGTGGACTTCCAGTTTCTGCAAAAGTGCGGGATATTGTACCTCAGCAGCTAGAGGAAATGGTGAAGCTTGTGAACCCACAGGTCTTCAATTTGGTCGTAAGGAAATGATTGCTGTTCTTTCCGTCTGGCTATTCTGCTGCGAGGAGACAACTTCGCCATCTGTGAGGTTAAGGAAATGGTGGATGGGTGCCTCCTCGTAGCATGTGTTATGTACAAAAATGTTCCCCTGAGACTATTTCATATGTATGGACCAATGGTAAAGAGTGAGCAGCTGACTGCCTTGCAACAGTTCCCACTGCTGCTGGCGATGTCGAGGCCTGTCAGTCTGGCTGGAGACTTCAACTGCATCAATGTGAACAGACGATCTGGAGGGGCTAACAGCAAACCGAATGTCATGCCGCATTCCTGAAGGAAACGGTTAAAGACATCAAACTGCACAACATCTTCAGCGACCCTGCAAGTGGAGCACAGCAAAGATACACCTGGATGTGGCCAGACGGGTTTAACTGCTCTCGGATAGATTTCCTGTTTGCATCCTGTTCTCGGTTAGATCCACCGATGTCAAGGCAATGTTTTTCGCTGACCACAGCCTCCGACTGGCTGACTGTCACCTGCAGGACGACCAGCAGGCCGGCAACGGAATGTAAAAGCTGAACATGAAACTGTTGACCCCAGAAAACACTGAGGAGCTCAAAAGAGATTACACACATTGGAGAACCGTGAAGCCCCTCTTGGTTTCCCACCAGTCCGCTGGAGAGTCAGTCAAGGGGAACATCAAGAGATTCTATATCTTTAAAGGTGTCCAGAAGGTAAGAAACCGAGACAAGGAAAACTGCCCAAACTCCAGAAAAGCATGCAGTACCTATTCCTGCTGCAGATGATGTAGGTCAATAGCATGGAGGAGCTCCTGGAGGTGAAGAGCCAGCAACCCACATTCTATGCCTCAGAGGCCTCCAAGATAATCTTCCAGTCCAGGGTCTGCAGCATGGAGCAGGATGAACTGTGCTAATGTTTCTTCTACCAGAAGGTGCACAAGAACAGCTTAGTGCTCAGCAGTCTGAAGGGAGAAGATGGCTCAGTAACATCATCTCAGTCTGACATCCTGAGAATCAGCAAATCTTCTTATGCCAGAATGTATGACACGAAGCCAGACACAGCACGGCCCCCTCGTTGTTCTTGTCTTCCTTCACGGAGGTCTTAGATGTTAGCACATGGGAGCAACTGGACCAGCTGTTATCTCTGAATGAGCTGAGCAAGGCCCTTGAGTCCTTACAAAAGAATAAAACTCCCAGAAGCGACAGCTTATCAGCCAAGTTGTATTCAGCTCTGTGGGACTTGATTGGCCAGGACCTGCTAAAGGTGTATGACAGTATGCTTCTAGCAGGTAACATGTGCGAATCCATGAGCAAAGGTATCATCACCCTCACCAATGTGTGGAAGGAGGAGAGGGAGGAAATTAGAAGTTGCTGACCAATTGCACTGCTGAATGCAGGTTACAAAATTCTGTCTAAGGTCATCACCAACTGGGTCAGGTCCGCTCTGGGCTTGGTAATTCATCCTAACCAAATCTGTGTTGTACCAGTCAGGAAGATACCTGACAGCCTTGAGTTCCTCAGGATTACAATCATGTACATGCAGGACAGGGGGATGAATGCCTGCCTGGACAAGGAGAAGTCCTTTGATACGATATCGCACACCTACATGTGGGACGTGCTGTCCAGAGTGGGCTTTGGGGAGGGAATCCACAATTGGATCCAACTGCTCTCCACCAACATCACTGGTGCAGTCTCAATCAATGAGTGGCAATCAGAAAGCTTCCTGGTCGGATCTGAAGTTAGGCAGGGCTTTCCACTCTTTCCTGCTTTGTTTATGTGTTGTACAGAGCATTTTGCTGAGTCCATCAAGAAGCTCACAAGCCATAAAGGGGTGATTTTTCTCAGCAACAGAGACCTGCAGGTGAAAGTTTCCCTGTACATGGAAGACTTCGCTGTTTTCTGCTCAAATCCACCGTCAGTACGCAGACTCATGAGCATCTGTGACCAGTTGGAACTGGAGTCGGGAGCCAAGGTAAATCGAGGCAAAGATTGAGGCCATGTTCTTTGGGAACTGGGCTGACCAATCCGTTATCTCCTTGACCGTCAGGACAGATGACCTGCTGGTGCTGGGAATATGCTTCGTAGGGTCTGGAGTGTGCGCAAAACCATGGAAGGAGTGTATCGCCAAGCTAAGACAGAAACTTGGTTTTTGGGAACATCGCTCTCTCTCCATTGCAGGTAAAAACCTGGCCTTGGCGCCACAGAACGCTCCAAGCAGTTGGACTGTTCCATAACACCTGTCTTTCATACAGAAAATTGCCAAGAAAAACACCTTTGACCACAAAGTGATCAGCACGTAGTAGCCTTGAGGCCCTGCAGGGAAAGAAGAGGGCTGATCCTGTCAGGTTATTTTCAGAGCAGACTGTCAAAGTCATGTGGCAGAATGCCTCATCACCAGAACTTTCCAACGAGCACCAAGATATTGCTTGGTTGGTGGTGAGAAGGGCACTACCTGTGAGATCATTCATGTTTGCCCGGAGTCTCTGCAACTACACACTGCCCACCAAGTGGGATGTGGGGATAAGGGACTGTCACACATCTCTTTCTGGAATGTGCCTTTTCAAAGGAAGTCTGAAGAGAGATGCTGTGGTTTATTTCGAGGCTCATCCCGAGCAGCTCTGTGACACAGGACTCTGTGCTCTTTGGGCTGTTCCCCACAAAGGACACCAAGACAACACTGACTACACCTGGAGGACCATCACATCAGTGAAAGATGCTCTCTGGTCTGCCTGATACTGGATGGTCTTCCAGAGCAAGGAGTTGACCTCAACTCAGTGTTGCAGACTGGCATATTCCAAGGTCCAGGACGACATGCTGAGGAATGCGCTTGGAAGGCAGCTGCTGCCAAGGCTCAGTGGGGAAGACCACCATCAAAGATCTTTCTGCTGAAATTAAATGGTGGTCTATTCAGTTATCAGATCCTTCCAGTGCTTTCCATGTGTGAAAAAGTAGTCTTGTATAAATAAGATATGCTTTGGGTTCATTTGTTCTCCAGTTGTAAAGACTGTACAGAATCAAATTGCTCTCATGACAATGTATGTATTTGAAGATTTTTTATGAATAAAGTATACTTTTGAAATGAAAAAATATTTAACGATGAAGTGCAACCCTCTGGGAGAGAGAATTTCAAAGATTTCCTGCCTTTCACTTTACATGTTTTGTCGTTTCAACTCAGTCCTAAATGATTAATCTCTTACTCGAATAGTGTTCTAGATTCCAAGCCAAGGAAACAACCTAACAATGAATGTCCGGTCAGGTTCCTTCAGAGAGTTGTACATTGCAAGTGATCACCTTTCATTCGTCTAAACTTCAGTGAATATAGGTCAAATTTATTCAGATTCTCATTACATGTCAACACTTTCATCACAAGAGCAACCTGACGAACCTTCAGTGTGCTATCTCCTCTCAAAGTATATCCATCCTGCATGATGGAAACCAAAATATTATTTGATTTATTCCTGCCACATGTCCGAGACACAGTGAAAAGTATTGTCTTCCGTGCTTTACAGGCAGATCATACAATACAAATTCATCAGCGTAACAGAAGTGTGCAGGATACCATGTTACAGCTGCCGAGAAGGTGCAGAGAGAGATGAGCATTGACATTAAAGAGGTCCATTCAAAACTCTGATAAGAGCGGGAAAGAAGGTGTTCTTGACTCTGTTCATACATATGTACAAACGTTTGTACCTTCTGCACAACAAAAGAAGATGAAAGACAGTATAACTGAGAGAGGTCTTTGATTATGTTGGTTGCTTTCCCGATGCAGCAGCAAGTATAGCTGAAGTCAATGGATGGGACACTGGCTTGTGTTCACAACTCTCACAGTACTCCAGCTTCGGTCTCATTAAACTGCTCATATCAAGACTTCCTCCAACTTGGCGGGTGAGGATAATTGTATTCCCCAAGTTCAAAGCTGATTAGAATTTGTAGGCAAACAGGGCATGTGGAATGTCCAATGATCTATTATTAGTTCAAGTCATAGTTTGTTCTTTTTACTGTCTCTTAATTTTGTTGACATTGGATCTCAAAAATCTGCTTCCATCTGATTTGTCCAGGGCAATGGACTCCTTAGTCTTATCCTCAAGCCCCATTCGATTGCTGTATCTACATGCTAACTTTATGCTCCTTGTACAATTACACCCAAGTCCCTCTGAACAGCAACATTTCCAAATTCATGCTTTTGAAAGAAAATGTTCTACTTTTCTGATTTTCTGCCAAGTAACCTCAAACTTCCCACATTATACTTCATTTGCCACTCATTAACCTGTATACATCTCAATCACAAAATCTGTAAATTATTCTTCATGTCATACGAATAACGTATCACAGCATCTGAGCTAATCCTTTGCAGAGCAAAGCCAGAATAATAAAAGTGCACTATCCATGAGACAAGATATGTACAATGCCACTCAGCGGTGCAATGGAGCTTTGAGTCCCATCCCATTGAGGGTCTGATCAGAGCCCCAATGTTTCCATTTAAGGAGGAAAATTCAACAGGGAGTTTCTGAAGAAGGGTCTAGGCCGAAACGTCAGCCTTCCTGCTCCTCTGATGCTGCTTGGCCTGCTGTGTTCATCCAGCTCTACACCTTGTTATCTCGTTCACTCATGCATTTTGTTTGTGTGCTGTTAATATTGTCATCAGTGGCCTGTCGTGCCTAACCTCTCCAGCACAATTGTTGTATATGCAAGAGTCCTTGAGGATCAAGAAGCATGTGCAACTGACAAACAAATATACATTCTGCAATGTTATTGTTCGAAAATATTCTTCTTGGAGTGATCAGAAGTAGGATGCATGGCAACCTTCAGAAGACAACAGTGAATCATAATTTCTCAGATAAGACAAGCAGAGGTTGTTTCCCAAGCTTAAAGAACCTATGGGGGCACAGTCTCAGGACTGAAGATTGATCATTTAGAGATGAGAAGAAGAAACCTTGTCACTCAAAAGGTATGAAGCTGGAATATCTGTAACCTGTGATATTTTGTGTACAAACATGTCTTGTCTATCTGTACAGCCAATGAATAAGTTGGTATCACTTGCTTGTATTTCTAGCCTGAATGTTTTCTGCAAATTCTCAGCATTCCTGAGCTGGCCATTTGTTTTCTTTCATTTTGTGGACCACATGCATAATGTGAGCTTTCTCAAGAAAAATGTGCAAAACAGAAAATAGTCACTCCAGTGGTATTAAAAAAATCATTTGGTTCAGCAAGAACAAACTGCACATTCAAAGAGTCAAGTTTCACTAAACAAAACGTTGATCAGTTCTTTTAAGTGGAGTAAGGCCATTACGATACATCAATGACTTGGTCGAATTTCTTTCACCCATCTTTTCCCGCTTTTGAAATGTTCCCAAACCTTCTGGCCTACCAATATTTGTCTGTAATTTTATTCAATTGTTATCCTCCTTAGTCAGTTTCAGACAGTGCATCCTTCTCATAAAGTCTCTCTCTCAATGAAATATAACTTACTTGGGAGTTATGAAATATCGCCTGAAATACGTGCCACTATTTTTGAGTTGTCTTAGCTTTTAACCAATTTTCCCAATAACTTCAGCCAATTCCGTCTTCATAAGCTTAAATAAAGGCAAATTCAAGGATAAGATTCAAGTTTCCTAAGTCAATTTCTCACAGAATGAAATTGTAACAATTTGTGATCACTCTTTCCTTAAGGATACCCCACGATGACATCCTTACCAGGTCCAAAGTTGCTTGGTCCCTTATCATTACACGTGAACAGGGCAAGGTGCCTCTTTTTTCAGCATCACACTATGTGAAGTGAAACACAACTGGCTGCATGCCACATCTATCAAATTACAACCTGAAATCACAAGAGTCTTATTGCCTTTGTAAAGGTATTGTTGCTCTTTACTTTAGTCACAGTGAAATCAATTCATAACAAGTTGTGGGACCCAAATGAAGCAGGTAGTTCTCAGTAAACATGACAAGGATAAAGAATTAAACTTCAACCAATAGTCAGTGATTCAGGACTGGCAGAAACTTTAACTGGTTACTATCTGATTTAAACAGCAGAAACTTTTAAGTATAAATTACTCACCTTTGTGAACTGTTTCCAAAGCCTCCCACTCCGCTTCTGCCTGCAACACGTCCAAAGTCACATCCACTGCAAAAATAATGACCAAAAAAGTTCCAATAATGTTCCATTTATGTGTGCAAACTCCTCCTTTTCACAGCTCAAAATCTTCTCTTTGGTTATGAACAGTTACCTTCCTGCTTCAGGTTACATGCCTTGTCCATGCACCAGTGGCTTATTTTCAGACTAAAAATCTTCAAATCACAATTTCATTTTGTCTCTCCTGTTATCGACTAATAAAGTGCAATAAACTAGAAATCATTGTACTTCAAACTACTCTTGCCCAAATGACAATTCCTACTCATTCACCTCCAGCCATATATTTTGCTGATGAGTTATTCTAGTCATGACAAAAAACATATATAATCATAAGAGATAGACTGACACGCAAAAAAAAAACAATAGATCCATTCAGGCTATCCAAGAACTCTAAAGGCTCACATATCACAACATATGCATCCCACCCTGCCCAAAATCCATGTAAGAGTCGATGAGAAACCAGATGAAAACTTGGCCAATTAGGAGGGAACATCTGGAAAACTCTTGGATCCCTTTAGACAATCAGAACTGGTGCAGGAACCTATCTTTGGCTCATTGATTCTACGTTGTGTCTATCTTTGATTTGATCTCCGCCAGTCTAGTTCTCACTTGAAGAAACAAATTGCTCAGCGTGCACACTGGAACTATGTTCCCTTGGTTCCACTCTTTTCTGGGGGAGAAAAAATAACATATTCCTAAATCTAGGTGAATTATGCAGTTTCGTAACCTAATTAGCTGAAACAAACTATCTACACAAACAAAGTCTGTTCTTTTCATTTTATAATCCTTGATAAAATAAGCACTAGACTTATTTTCTCCAAACTGAGAGTTACATTTCTCAGGTTTGGTGAATTCAGTTAAGTAGTTGGCCAGACTGTGGTGCAGACTGACAATCCACATACGAGGAGACAGACAAGTTTGATTCTGGAATGAAACCTGGATTGGTGGATCATGAGTTCCATTTTTTCAGTTTGGTTCGGGCGGTGATCATTCACGAAATATATTCACAAGATGCTGCCATTGCATTTTTAACAAAAGATCATCAAAGTTCAGGACATGCAAGAAAATCAAAAACAAAGCTTTATGACAATTTGGAAAGATCTTAACATAAACAACAAATCGAAAGATTCAACATTCTTTCCCAGCAATATCCTTTATAGACAGTCAACCCCATTATAGTACAACTCCCATCTTCACTTTAAAATTTCTCACTCAACTGACAAGATTACAAGCGTTTCCTTTTGGCAAACTTCTGCACATTACAGACATGATTCTCTGTGTTACTGTCTCTACCTGAGACACACAGCAACAGGCTCACTTGCTGACCATTCCAAAGGAACTCTGAGATAAAATGCAAAGCTTTCTCCAATTACTTTGACTACTTCTGAACTGCTAAACAGCACAACTGCCTTCTTCTGAAATGACCCTGCTTCCAGCCTCTGCCCGCTTTCTCCACGAGTCATAAAAATTCATGTTAGTAAACACTGCAACAATTATTTCAGCAGGCAGTTTCTTTGGTCATTTAACTTAACTCACATGATTTGTTCGAATTGCTGTTTTGACCCACTGCTAAAAAACAATCAAGTCCTGAGAAAAGTACAAGTCACGATGACAGAACGAAAACCAAAACCCCATTTACCAATACCTAAGAAGCTAATTTCACCAATGATACTAACACATTAGAAACTTACATCACAATAGATATTAGTACCCTATCATCTCCAGCAATCACTTTGTTGAATTGGCCATCAACGTTTAATGCTGCAGTGGAACAGTGAGATCTCTTTCTTTTTCCACCAAATATGTCCTCCTTTCAGGAAAAGTACTTATGTTTCGTGTTTACTCTGCTCATACATATGGCACCACACATTTTTAAGTTAAACAACATGCCTTTTCATAGCATTTCACTGCCAGTACACCAATTTGCCAACCTCCATTTTGATCATTCTAGCCAAAAATCAATCTTTCGCCCTGCAGTATCCAAAAAGTGTGCAATTCAAGTTGATTCATGGCTGGAGAGGATAATAGGCAGAGGTTAATCTTCACAGAAACTATAACTCACATCTGGTCCAAATCATGTCACCATCAACTCACCTTCACGTTTTTTTTCATCCACTTCAGCCATAAGAGATTGTAAAAGGCCATTTCTCTTCAGTGCAGAAATCTGGAATAAAAGCAATAGCAATCCTGAAACCAAAGCCTTGAAAACAGCTGATGCAAGCAGGAATGTTGAAATACACACAAACAAGTAAATCATCGAATCTCATAGTTTCACTCTAAATGTGTAAGGCTCTAACTACTCACAGATATAGATTTAAGCACTTCATTTCCATTGCGAGCATCATCAGTCACATGTGGACGCAAACACATACCCATTAAAACCTGAAAAGCAGCATAAAAGAGAACATCATGCACAAGCAGAAACACAACCAGCACAGGGAGGTGAGCAAGCTGCCATACCAAAGAGAGAGATTTCATGAATTAATTGATCTTTTGTTACTGCTGGGATAAACAGTGAGCATTTTCCTTTCAATGTAATAAACTTGAAGAAGACCTCTCGATTGGTCAGGACCAGAACACAGGGTGGAAATCAATTCACAGAAGTTCACACAGCAAAATTTCATCTTTGATCACATGCTCAGGGTCAAAGCTGTCTGACTTCTTTTTGAATCCTACAGATGGTCCGGATAAAAAAATAGATGTCCTTTTCCATCTAGAAATGTGTTTATTTAAGTCTGAGTTCTTGGAATTTGGGAGCGACTGTTCAATGAATATCCTTTTCGCGCTAACCTTTCCCAGGGGTACACACATGGACAGTGGATCACACTGATGAGAACAGATTGCAGAGTTCTGAGATGCGAGGGATCTGGATGTTCTTGTTCATGATTCACCAAAGGTTAGCAGACAAGTACAATTAGCAATTAGCAAAGTTAATACAATAGTTATTGCTTATTGTCAAGGGAACAGAGTATAAAAGTACTGTCTAAGACTGGAACAAGGATCGTTCCACATATCCCATAAAGAGGCAGGCATAACTGGGACCCATAGCCACTCTTTTGACTTGGCAGAAGTGAAATGAATTGAAGGAAAAATTGTTCAGTGACGGAACAACGTCAGCCAGACAGAGAAAAGTGGTGGTGGATGAGGATTGTTCCTCTGGTCAAGGAAGAAGCAGAGTGTTCTCTGACTGTCCTGGTAGGGAATGGAGGTACAGAAGGACTGGACATGCATAGTGAACAGGAGACAGATAGGGCCAGGGAACTGGAAATTCTCGATACGGTGGAAGGCATCAGAGGAATCACGGATGTAGGTGGGCAGGGTCTAAACAAGTGGAAATAGTATAGTGTTAAGGTAGGAGGAAATGTGCTCAGTGGGGCAGGAACAGGCTGATCCAATGGGCCTACCGGGCAGTCTGGTTTGTGGATTTTGGGACGGAGGTAGAAGAGGGCTGACTGGGCTTGGGAGACAACTAGGTTGGAGGCTGTTGGGGGAAGATCTCCAGAGGTAATGAGGTCGGTGACAGTCCTGGTAACAATGGCTTGATGTTCAGATGTGGAGTCATGGTCCAGGGGCAGTAGGAAGAAGCCTGAGAGCTGGCATTGAGTCTCCACAAGGAAAATACCTTGTAGGTTGGTTTCATAACAAAGTTAAGGTTGGACCTAAAAGAGCGAAGTGTGGCTATTTCAGAAGGGGACAGGTTAGAATGGGTGAGAGGACCAGGGAAATTGAAATGGTCAATGTCACGTCGGCAGTTTTCAATAAAGAGATCAAGGGCAGGGAAGAGGTCCAACTGGAGGGTCAATACTGGAGGCAGGCGAAGGATCAGTGGAATGACGGTGGGGGCATTCTTGCCTGAAGAAGTGAGTGCGGAGACGGAGACGGCGGAAAAACAGTTCAACATCATAACAAGCTTGAAATTCATTAAGGTGGGGGCATAAGGGTATGAAGCTGAGTCCTTTGCCGAGGACAGTATGCTCAGCCTCAGAGGGGGGAAGATCAGGAGTTATGGTGAACATCCTGGAAGGCCTAGAGTAGCCTCAGGAGGACACAAAGTGATAGCATCTGAGGGCTGGAAAGCGGTGGATGCTAAGGGACAGTCCACAGGACAGATGCTGGAGTCCATAAATTGCTGGAACTTGACATCCATAACAAAGAGATAAAGTCTTTTGTTGAGGTAACAGATGAGGCAAAGGATGACATGAAACTGGGGACCAGCGCAGCTTTGAGAGAAGGTGAGTCGATTTTGCTGCAGAGTGGAGTTGAGTGTAAAAGTAGGGAGATTACGCTTCAGTTATACTGGTGAGAATTCATAGAGCACTGATCACATTACTGGTGTCCTTATTTGAGCAAAGAAGAATGCAATTAAGAGAAACTTTAGCAGACTGATACCTGCAGTGGGCAGATTGTATTATGAGGAAAGACTAGAGAGGCTAAGCTTGTATCTGTTGGAGTTCAAAAGCGTTATAAGCTTCATGATTAAAACATATATGAACACAATATAAAACATACACCATTTGGAAATGATGTGAGAGCTTGTGGGGCAATCAAATAAAGGGAAACTGATTAAAATTGAGAGGATTTTCATCTCAGACAGAGATTGGGAAAAACTTTTTTCTCAGAGGTGGTTGTGAGTCTTTCTAACTCTGTTTCCACTGCCTTTTGAGAAAAATGTCTTTAAACATCTTTACGGCAGAGGTGGATGGATTCTTGGTGAGCAAGGCACTGCAAGGTTATTAGGGACAGGCAGGAATAATCGGATCAGCCATTATCATATTAATGGTGGAGCTGACCATGCAGCCAAATCATCTCCTGGTCCTAACCTCCATGTTCGTGCGCATCCAAGTAAATAACTTTAGGACCACGTAGAAAACATTTAAAGTGCCATATCATGTCAAATTGAATTTACAGCAATTCAGTACAACCGCTGTGGATATGCTTAAATTTCACACGAGCCTCCTCCCAATAGCTGACTTAAACAAACGGAAATGGCACAACTTTCTATTCCTTTCACGGTCATATTTCTCGTCTTTTGGATTCGTTCACATGGCAGCACGTTCTGTATGGATGCCTGGATGAAGGAGTTTCTCCTGGATTCCCTCAGAATTTATGAGTGACAATCATATTTATGACCCCTGGTTTTGAATTTCTGAAGAAACATATCTGCAAATCTAATCAAACCTGTTACAAATTTTAAAGACATCTATGAGGTCAGTCCTCCCCTTTATCTTTATTTAAGAAAATAAACCCAGCTTCTTTTGTTTTCCTAATATCTGTAACATCTCAGTTCGAGTTTCAAACTTTGAGATCTTTTGCCTTTGCTTCCTCAGTGCTCTTCTATGTACTATTTCTTAAAAGTTTGTGTCTTTTGCCCCTGTTTAAACAATGACTAGTACTTCCATTGCAAAACCCAAAACAAAGTGTTTTTTTTTAGAAAAAACGGTCATTTACTAAGTTGGTTTATCTTATGATAACAACTGCATATTCAGAATCCAAGACAAAGTCCAAAAACCACAGCATCCTAATAAAGTCCTAGTAATTTCCCTCTTTCACAGTTTTCATTGAAGATGTTTTCACTGAAATCCTCTCCCCTGCAGACAGCTATGCTAAAAGGACCAACAATATAAAGCTTATGTTTCTGGAACTATGTTGTTCTTGCAGAATCCCAGGAGCACAATTTCCAATGCCAGGAATGTTCAACACCTGCACAGAAAACCTGACAGTTACGACAGTTGAACTCAACAACTTATGCCATCTGCAAACAGAAACATTGTGAAGTTAGAAGTTGGTCATGAAGATCTGAGGAAAGATGAAGCTTTCCACCACTTAAAAATGAAATGGCAGCAACAGTGACAGATGGCTGATTCTTAAGGTGCACCAGCCTGAGCAGCTGGTGTGGCAAATATAACATTTTAAGAAACAGCAGCAGCAATAGGCCATTCAGACCATTGAATTCACTAGTCAATCAAAAATCAATCAAACTCAAAAAATGTCATTATTGGCTTATTTTGCTGAATCTTAATTATGTTGCTGCACAAACAGTATGGAATATTCGGACAGCATGTAATATATCAAGAGAACAGGGGATACTCAAACTTAAGATACATCAACAACATTGGAAATTTGCACATGACACACCACCATGCAGTTTAAGTGGGATAACTCATCAATGCAAACCAACGAAGTGTGGAATACCACATCATCCATTGTCACAGCAAGGGACATGGTCACAGCACAAGATGCACTAACAACTTGCTATACTATGACAGTATTAGTTCACACAACAGTCTCACTGTAGGATGGTGTAATCTTGTTAACCTTAAGTTTTGTACCTAAACCAGTAATAAAACGCAAAGACAAAATTTTACAATGAAATATAATCTGTACTTGTGCACAAAGCTGAATGCAAGCTAGGTAATGTTTCAGTCCATTTAATCCATTTGTTTCACATACCTTCTCCTTTGCCTCAGTTCGACAGTGCTGGTCCCCATCCATTGTTTTTCACAGGTTCCTATGGCAATAGGTGTCGCTTCTTCTCAGGGATTCTGGGTAAGTTTTAAAACCATATGCTTTCGAGAAGGCTGAAAAACGAGTATCTTAAGTCTTCAAATTTCTAAAGTCAACAAATTGCTTTGCGTTCAGGGTGGTAGTCGAACAGTGCTGTGCAAAACCAAAACTCTGCAATAACCAACGTCTGGAATGGTGCCCAGACTAATTTGCACAGCATCATCACAGCTAAACAGTCGTGAGTCTCATACGAGAAAGCAGACTTATCCTTATATATAGTTTTGCCGACTGTATTCAGCGACGTTGTCCTATTCAACAGTTGTATCGTTAAGGAAGGTGCTGGAGTTCCTGCTGTATGTGCAGTGATGATAAGCACTAGCCAGCTCATGAACAGCACAGGAAGCTGCCAATTAATTTATTACAAAGTGCAGTCATTTAATTTGATGTGTGCTGCACAAAAGGAACTCTCTGTTGCTGATGTATGGGAAACGCTATGCTTTGTATGCCAGCCTTCAATCCACAAAATCTGGTCCAAAGACTTGTTCAATGATGTTCAAAGTTGCACATGTTGGGTTCTTACACTTGTTATTTTGTGTCAGAATCATGAAGGATTCCTTAATATGCAAAGATTTTCAAAGAAGTGCTCATACTTTCAAAGATCTAAATGAGATGCAGTAGAAGAAGAATTTTCTGGGGAACATAAAAGCAGAAAAAAGAATATCAAAATTGGAACTGAACAACAAATCTTTTTAACCCGCCCTGGCTTCTCCTGCTCAGTGTCCTTCAGTCAAGAAGGATGAACTCACAAAATTATTTCCGTTCCTCACCTATTTGCTCTGTTTTGTTCCAGTGAACTCAGGCACATTGGTGGGGTAAAGTGACACGGGTGATACTCTAAACGTGGGTGTTTGAGTCAAATGGCTATTTAACATGCCAGCACAGCTACAATATGAGAGCAGAAGATAATGCAGAAAAGATGGATCGATTACAGGTAATCCATGCAAACCTCCCAGCAGGGGTCAGTGGACGCGACAACACCAAATCCTTATTAGCAGTGGGGGAGAGGGGCACAGATCTCCTACAGATCACATAAAATATGGATCTTGAACCCATCTAGTTACTTGATGTACCATGAAGATCCTTGTGATCATAGTGGACGAATCAATGTGAAACAAAATTGGGTTGGAGGCTGACCTCCCAAGTATGCAAATTCACAGGTAATGAATCAGTGAATAACGAGGAGAGAGTGTACTATCAGAGGCAGAACATACGGTTCAGGTCATTTGAGCACCTTTTCATTGACACTGGCCCTTGGAACTTGATCTGTTTTATTCACAACCATAGCCAAACATGTAATCCCTTGACAGCAAATAGATATTCTACAGCTTTTGAGTAAAAGACCTCAATGATGGGACAAATAGCAAGTGTGTTTTTCTGGAAAAACAGTTGCTTTGCTGAAGGATTTCCCTATTCTCCACAGATTGTGGGGAGGGATAGTGGACAGTGAAATCAGAATTTGTGTCTCACTGAACACAAAGGTTGGGTTTGAATTTTTCAACAGCCACCAGTGCCAACTTACTTAAGAACACAGGGATAGCAGTGGTCCATTTAGCTTCTCAAGCCTGTCCCACCATTCAGTCAGATCAGAGCTAATCTGTGATCCAACTCCATATTACCTGCCTTTGGCCAATATTCCCTAATACTTTTGCTTAACAAAAATTTATCTCTCTCAGATTTAAAACCAACAACTGATCTGGCATCAATTGCCATTTGTGGAATAAAGTTCCAAACCTCTACCTACGTTTGTATAATTAAATGCATCCTTACATTTCTCCTGAACAGTATGGTCCTAATTCTCAAACTATACCTGCTTGTCCTTTAGTCCGTAACCAACGGAAATAGTTTGTCTTCATCTATCCTGGTTGTTCCTGTTAATATCTTGAAGACTTCAATCAGACCACCCCTTAACTTCATAAATTCTACAGAACCATTCCTTTGCTGCTCAAATAAAACTGGAATGGGAACCAAAAAAAAGCACACATTTGTGCTTCTGTTATTACCTAAAGGTAAAAAGACAGGGGAATAGTTTCAATAAAGACTTTATCAGAACATTCTCAAAGACTGGATATTTGCAAAAACATATTCCTTTCCAAATGTTTCTGTTCTTTATTCTGGATTCAGAAAGCAATTTGCAGATAGTCAGTGGGTCCAAAACACAATCAAAAGAGACCTTTTATATTCACTGCCTCACATTTCCTGAAACACTCTCATCACAATGAACTCCAAGAAACTCTCATTAAAATTTCACCTTAACTTGAGTCACCTCACAGGGGAAGGAAATAAAATCTTGTATTCATCTGAATCAAAGCTCTCATAAATAAAACAATAGCAATTCTCACAGTCTGTTTGACTGAGTTCCAAAGTCTAAAATGTCTCCAGCAGTGGATGGTATTCTTCTAAATTCTCGGCCAAATTAGCTGAACCCTTCAGTGCAGCTTTATCTCAGTCCCACTCCCAGCAGCCACAGGAGGGTGCTGGGACAGTTCTTCAGCTTCTCTTCTCACTTAGGTCCCAGTTCACAGCACAACAGGTTTTAAAGGTCTTATCATTGTTTTCTCAATATCTTTTAATGGTTTGACTGTTTCCATTACTGTTCCATAACAATACTCCATGAAATTTTAGATTGGGTAGTCACAATTTCAGAAACAGGCACGTCCAGATTGGATTCCAGGATGAGTATCTACATGGAGTACAAAGACAGAAACACAGTGGCTCCTGTTAACCTCTTAGCAACCAAGGGACACAAATACTGACACAAAAGCAAAACATTGCAAACGCTGGAAATTTGAAATAAAAACAGATATCTCACTGACAGATTATGCTCGAGGGACTGAATGGCCTACTCCTGTTCCTTTGCTCTCAGTATGAGAAATTTTCAGCAGCACAGATCAATATCTATGGAGAGAGAAACAGAATTCAGGCTTCTGTTCAATAACATTTCTTCAGCAACTGGAGATAAAGCAAATGTAACAAGCTTCAGCAGGTAAAAAAAACCTGGGAAAGGTGAATGCAAAGAACAAAAGGAAAGGTATGTGATCAGGTGAAAGAGATCAAATGACAGAACGACTGACAGAGGTGAGGCAAAGGGAGAAAGTAATGGCACAACTGGGAATGTGTCTGGGTGAGGTATAAACGATAATCATAGAATAATTACCAACAGGGGCTCTCTGAAAATAAGCATGGTGGTTCTGATCTTAAAGTGCCTATTGCAATCAATGCTAGGTCTCGACAGAGCTGGTTCCAGGATTGAATGGTTCACACTCTGGAATATGAATCCAGCTATCCTAGTTCAAATATTGCTGAAACGTAAAACTGCCTTGTCCCCTTGGGGCCCTCTTGTGGTGCAGTGGCAGTGTCCCTACGCCTGAACTGAGAGACCCAGGTTCAAGTCCCATCTACTCCAGAAATGTGTAATAACGTCTCCGAACAGGGTGATTGGCAAAAAAAAAGGTTAACTAAAAAAAAGAAACTAAGTTCAGATGGATTGAAAATACTTCTGGAGTGCTGTTCCTGAAGTGACATTCAGGTTCAGTGAAAACCAAAAGAACTGCGGATGCTGTAAATCAGGAACAAAAACAAAGTTGCTGGAAAAGCTCAGCAGGTCTGGCAGCATCTGTGAAGGAGAAAACAGAGTTAACGTTTTGGGTCCGGTGACCCTTCCTCAGAACTGATAGTGGCTGGGAAAACGTCAGTCTATATGCAGAAAAAGGGAGGTGGGCGGTGGGGAGCAAACGATAGGATAGAGCCCGAAGAGAGAGAAAGACAGTTGGACAGACAAAGGAGTTGCTAATGATCAGGCTGGGAGGGTGAATAGTTGTTAATGGGGACTGTTAGTGACTAACAACAGGGGATGTGTAATGGCAGACTATGTGGTAAAAATGCCTGGTGTGTGGGGTGGGGGGCTGGGACATGGGAGAGTTTAGGCCCTAAAATTATTGAACTCAATATTGAGTCTGGAGGGCTGTAGGGTCCCCAAGCGGTAAATGAGGTGTGGTTCCTCCAGCTTGTGTTGGGCTTCACTGGAACACTGTAGCAAGCCAGAGACAGAAATGTTGGCCAGGGAGCAGGGTGGTGCATTGAAGTGGCAGGCAACGGGTAGTTCAGGGTCTTTTTTGCGAGTGGAACGTCGATGTTCTGCAAAGCGGTCGCCAAGTCTATGCTTCATTTCCCCAATGTAGAGGAGACCACATTGTGAGCAGCAAATGCAGTAAACTAGATTCTGGCAAGTGCAGATGAAGTGTTGCTTCACCTGGAAGGTATGTTTGGGCCCTTGGATACTGGGGAGGGAGGAGGTAAATGGGCAGGTGCTGCATCTTCGCCGGTTAGAGGGGAAGGTGCCGTAGGGCTGTGGGGAGGTGTTGGGGGTGAAGGAAGTGTGGACCAGGGTGTCCCGGAGGTAACGGTCCCTGCGGAATGCAGACAAGGGAGGGGAGGGAAATATGTGTCTGGTGGTGGCATCTTGCTGGAGGTAGCGGAAATGGCGTCTGATGATCTTCTGGATGTGGATGCTGGTGAGATGGTAGGTAAGGATAAGGGGAACCCTATCGCTCTTGCGGGAGGGAAGAGAAGGGGTGAGGGCGGAAGGGCGGGAGACGGGTCAGACCTGGTTGAGGGCCCTGTCGACGACGGAGCTGGGGAAACCTCGGTTGAGGAAGAAGGTGGACATTTCGGAGACTCCCTTGTCGAAGTTGGCCTCATCTGAACATATGCGACGGAGACAGAGGAACTGAGAGAATGAATGCTCCGTTGTCGACAAGGCCCTCAACCAGGTCCGACCCATCTCCCGCATTTCCGCCCTCACCGCTTCTCTTCCCTCCCGCAACAGCAATAGGGTTCCCCTTATCCTTACCTACCATCCCACCAGCATCCACATCCAGAAGATCATCAGACGCCATTTGATGTCACCACCAGACACATATTCCTCTCCTCTCCCTTGTCCACCTTCCGCAGGGACCGTTTCCTCTGGGACACCCTGGTCCACACTTCCTTCACCCCCAACACCTTCCCCTCTAACCGGCGAAGGTGCAACACCTGCCCATTTACCTCCTCCCTCCCCACTATCCAAGGACCCAAACATACCTTCCAGGTGAAGCAACACTTCACCTGCACTTCCAAGAATCTAGTCTACTGCATTCGCTGCTCACAATGTGGTCTCCTCTACATTGGGGAAACGAAGCGTAGACTTGGCGACCGCTTTGCAGAACATCTACGTTCCACTCGCAAAAAGACCCTGAACTACCTGTTGCCTGCCACTTCAATGCACCACCCTGCTCTCTGGCCAACATCTCTGACTCTGGCTTGCTACAGTGTTCCAGTGAAGCCCAACACAAGCTGGAGGAACAACACCTCATTTACCGCTTGGGGACCCTACAGCCCTCCGGACTCAATATTGAGTTCAATAACTTTAGGGCCTAAACTCTCCCATGTCCCAGCCCCCCACCTCACACACCAGGCCTTGTTACCACATAGTCTGCCATTACACACCCCCTGTTGGTAGTCACTAACAGTCCCCATTAACAACTATTCACCCTCCCAGCCTGATCGTTAGCAACTCCTTTGTCTGTCCAACTGTCTTTCTCTCTCTTCGGGCTCTATCCTATCGTTTACTCCCGACCCCACCCACCTCCCTATTTTCTGCATATAACCTGATGTTTTCCCAGCCACTATCAGTTCTGAGGAAGGGTCACCGGACCCGAAATGTTAACTCGGTTTTCTCCTTCACAGATGCTTTTCCAGCAACTTTGTTTTTGTTCAGTTCAGTGAAGCAGGATAAGAGGTGAAATTGGGGAGAGGAAGTAAAATTATAGGAAACCAGAACCTCTGCATTTGGTTATTAATATCAAGACCACATCATAGTGACAAAAAAATACACAAAGCATTGATTCACCAGAAAAGAGTGCCTGATACCCTAGGGGATGGGAACGGAGGATATAAAAGAGGCAGGTGTTGTATTTTATGCACTTGCAGCAGAAGGTGCATTCTGATGAGGAAGCGGGGTGGAGGATGATTGAGGAGTGGAGTAAAGTTTAAACTGAAAGGTAACAGGAAGATGCCTTTGATGACATCACACTGGAGAAATATTTCAGAACGATTCCAAGAATATGGAGGCTGATGGGTTGAGTGTGAGTTTAAAGTAAGCTCTTGTTGGGAATCCAGCAGGGAGAAGACAGGCAAGAAGATATGGGGAAGAGCTGTGGGACATGGAACTGACACAGTCAAGGGCCATGTCAAACAGGCTGGAAGGAAATTTCCTAGTTGAAGAAAAAGGAAGATATATTCATAAAGACATCAAACAAAAGACATATACAAAGCATTGGTTTGAAACGTGAGGTCATCAGAATACAATTATTGTATAACAAGAGACTGAGAAAACCTAGACTATTTCGATATCCCAATCCCCAGAAATGGAGATAAAGGAGTCCAAAAGGGAAGGGAAGAATAAGAGATGGACCACAAGAAGTTGAAGGAACAATGGAATTTTGGACCAAAATTGATGAAACTATCCAGTTTGGGCAAAGAGTAGGAAACAGCATAAACACAGAAATAAAAGTTATGGAAAACAGACAACGAAGGTGACTGGAAGAAAGGAAGTTCTAAGTGTGCTGAAAAAGGCTGGAGCATCCGAATTCTTAAGCAACAGCTTTTAATGAGATAAAATGAATGGATTTATAATAGAATGTGGTTCAATGTGAGAACCATGGTCAATCTAGAGAAAGAGAACTGTGGTGTCTAAGGAAAAGTCAGGCCTCCTTTCAGAAGAGAGGGTCCTCAGAGCACCCTTGTGATACATAAAGGTGGAAAGAGTTTGGATAAACATGGTGTAAAGGAGACAATGCAATCCAACTGGCAAATAATGTTAACAGAGTTGTATGTAATGGTGGGAAAAGGAAGAAATAAGTTTTGTGGTAAAGAAAAGGATTAAATGATAGGTCCAACCACAGCAGTCTACTTAATGCATTTTGGGGATGAGGCAGAAGTGGGCTTTTCCAGGTTAAGGGAATTTGAGGTTGGAAGGCACAGAAAGAACATTTACAAAGATGATATCAATGACAGTCTTTGAAACTAAGACGTAATGATCTGTGGTGAAGTTATCACAAGGTCTCTCTGCTCCTCTCATTCTGGCCTCATGCATCAACAGTTTTATTTGTTCTACCATTGGCAGCTGTGCCTTCGGTAGCCTAGGCCCAAAGCTCTGACATACTGTCCACATACTTCTTTGCCTTTCTACCTCACTTTCTTCCTTCAAGACGTTCTCAAATACTTGCATCTTGGACCAAAATTTTAGTCATTAACCCGCCATTTCTCTCTCTTAGATACAATTTCATTTTTTGTTTTATAATGCTCCTCTGAAATGCCTTCGGATGTTTAACAACATTAATGTGCTATGATTTGTTGAATCTGTCATCCAGTGAGATATTGGTGGAGCTATCACAGAGGTGGCCTCTGCAAGTTACAGATCAGCTTGGCAGAGAACAGAAACAGATTGGTTGAGAATGTTATAGCTGAACCTAATGGAGTGCTGCAAGTTCAGAGGAAGGCAACTTAGAGTAAGTGAAGAACAAACTCCTGCCTTGGGAACAATGTCATCATTGGGAAACTAAACAACTCAAAACAGGGTACTGGAAAAGGTTTGCGTTTTGCAAAGTCCGACAGATGTGACATGTGTATCTAAACTTTGTATTTGATGTAAATCATCTTCTGCAGCAAATATTCATGGATTTTCACACGTTCCTATCATTGTAACAAGATTCCTTTCCAGCTCGATATTGCACAAATCAAGTCCATGTTCTTGTGACACTGAGTCTTACACTATTTCTATTGCACTGTTCCTCTTCTACTTTCATTGCTGTGACTTCATTATAATTATGCCAGATTACCATATTTGAATCATGAGACTAGACCTCTTGTGGTGCTGTGGGAGCATCACCACCTGTGGGCCAAGACCCTTCATAAGCCCGATACCATTCCTACCAGTAGTCCAACATGCCACATCTTTCCTGAGCGTTTTATAACCCATTTGGTGCCGTTGGTAGGTAGCCTCGCTGTTGTCACCTTTCCCTCCAGAGTGGCCCTATCTCTTACCTCAGGCATGGACGCCACAAGGAATGGACACTTTCTATTACCTTGCCCAGCTAGCTACTCTCCATGGCAAAGCTGGATAAGAACTGTCATTGAGGCCGGCTTTAAAAAAAGGGAAACAACACTACAAAAGGCCAGTAGCGCACTAAGACATTGACACAGGCACAAAGCAATTAAATTATAATGGAAATGCAAGAAATGGCGGGTTAAAGCCATAATCATGGGGCCCTCAGTCAACTGTACAATATTTTTTACTACACCCTAAATAAGTTCAATACAATGTCAGATTAACCCCAATATCGCGACTGAATCCCTTGGGATCAATCACTGTTTTCAGAGCCATGATCGTCTCCACATCTTATGTAAAAGATACTACTTTGAATACTTTTTGATCCAATGATTTTTACAATGTTTTCTTTATCTCCACTTTACCTCTCGCTTCAATCTCAGCCGCTATTTAACAGTCGCACACGATCTTCGCATGCACTCGGCTCGCGGAGCAGGCCGGAAATCGTAGTCTTTTGTTGACGTCTCAAAGGGAATCAGTGAACATCAAAACTACATTTCCCAACATTCACTGAGAAGCCGCCTCCCTCCGGAGACCAGTCTCGCAACAATGCGTACAGAGACTGCCCTACAGGAAGGCACAGGAGACAGGAAGCACGACAACGCGAAACTTGACGGAACCTCGTACCATGAAAAGTTATGACTCAGAGACAGGACTGCAAACGATCATATTTCATTATTTTCCCGCCAAAGTTTGGCAGACAGTCAAGTACATATTTCCGTCAGTTACAATTATTCTCATGTACAAGAAATGAAAAGCAGACTTATTATTTTAACGATCCCAAATAGTCACTCGAGAATGTAAAACTGGCATGCGGGGCGGTTTGACTCTTCCTGTTTTACCCCCGTCTTCTCAGCCAAAGTCAACAGGACTCAAGTTTCTGAGGAAAGTTCGTCGACCTGAAGCGTTAACTTTTATCTAAATCTCCATAAACACTGCCTAACCTGCTGAGTATTTCCAGCATTTCTTTTTTTTTTTGTTTTCATTTCGTCCGCTGGTGATGAATTAATTGAGTGATTTTGCTGGAACAGTTTTTATGCTGTTTTATTCAGCAACTATTCTCTTCAGTCCTTCTTCAGGCTCACTCGTTCTGGCAGCCATCTAAAATATGTACTCTCGTTCACATAGTCACAGTGTAACGTTTTACATAAAAATACAAAATATCATAATCATTTACATATTGTTTCTCACAGACACAACAGTAGTTTTGAAGTGTGGTCACTGTTGACGTGTACAGAACACGGCAGTTAATTTGCACTCAACAAACTCCCATGGACAGCAATGCAATAATCTTTTTATGTGATACTGATTGAGAGAACGGGACACGGGGAATAACTCACCTCTTCTTTGGTGCCAAAAGATCTTCATGCAAAGTTGATCGAAGTTTACCTGCATCCCTTTAAGATGTAAGCACATTTGGCCTGCTGTGTTGATCCAGCTCTACACCTTGTTATCTCTAAACTCACACACATTGGGTTTAACTTTGCGACTTGAATTATTAAGACTGCAATTCAGAAGCATCAATCATTTTAAATCTGTTTTGCATCTGTAATAAAATACCACATGGGATTTAACATGTTTCTGTGCACAGGCATAGGTAATAATACGTATCATTCTTATTTTGAAGCATTCCCCGGGAACAAGGAGAAGTTCAATGGGTTCTGAAATGGCCATTAATGTTCTGCACACTCTGTAACATGTGAACACACACGGCACTTGAGGGTCAGATAAATGAGGCATTTGGATGTGTTACTTCTGTACAGTCCTTCACTGCAGCATGTTTTCACCACAGTTACTCCTATTGTTTGGTGCCTCCCTGAATGAATCCCTTTCATGTTGATAGATCACGGCGAGCATAGATGTTTCATCTCTTCAGAGATGCTTCGAGAACATTCATCAAAGACTTTCACTGCCCTTCTGGGAGCCTCCCGCCATCACGAAGTCAAGTGGAACTGTTGATAAGCAGCTTAATACAAGGCATGCAAGCTTCAGAAACTGGCACCAGACCTGGAGAATTCTGCAAAGGCAACTTTGATAGTTTCTGTGTGTCAAAGTGCTCGCTGTTGTCAAAGTTTGCAAAAAAAGTGCAGAGTTCACTGTTGCAAGTAAACCATGACCTCCGTGTCAAGTTTGAAAGCCTGGTTCAAAAATACTCTTTTCCTCACATGGCCAAAGGCTGAGGTAGCACATTGGAAACAATGATGTTTCATTGTCCATGTATGTCTTTATGGAGAGGAGGCTCCCAAGAGATAGAATGCCATCCACATTTTCCAGGATCTCACCATCAATCTTAAACAATGGGCGAAGTACATACAAAAAACTGTTGGAAGAAATTGCTAGAAAAGCTCAGCAGGTCTGGCAGCATCTGTGGAAAGAAATCAGAGTTAACGTTTTGGATCTAGTGACCTTTCTTTAGAACTGCAATTTTCCAGCAATTTCTGTTCTTGTTTCAGATTTCCAGCATCCACAGTTCTTTCAGTTTTTTGGAGAAGTACATAAGCTATTTGCAGGACGCGAAGTGTTATGTATGGCACTGATAACTTGATACGAACAGACGTGGCCCAAGGAAAATTGTGTTGTTGGGAAGAAGTATGTACATGATGAAAATCTCAAGTACATAGAATGTGCTGTTTCTGGGCAAGCTGTTGCAAGTCAATTTGGGCCAAAAGCAAAGCAGTGGGAGCAAAAAATTGTCTACAGCATGAGGGGTCGTGTCAAATTCAAGACCTCAGACCAAAGACAGTTTGTAGATCTTAAATTTAACATTTACAAGCTGCATTTCGAACAAAAAGTGGGAAATCTTACAAAACTCATGTTGATTTTATTCATACTTATGTTAGAATTCAGGTTCGTTAGCAAGCTGAGTGGAAAAATAATGGATGAAAACATTTTCAGAAAGTATACTGAATAATTTGTTTCACCTCTCCTTGCTAAGAAATTTGCAAACAGGCAAATTACAACTGATATGTTTACATACCAGACAACTAATTAGAGGAAATCTAAATTGATGTAAATTTTATCATAAGTCAATTAGCTTTGTAAATCTGATGATATCTGTGCAGCATAACCTCAATGAGAGAGTATAAGCAGGGAGATGAAGTGGGCTAGATAAGTTGCACTGGATCTCCTGTTATAAAATGACAATTATAGGAAATTGTTAGCATTGCTCACAACGAATACGTTGTTTTTGTGGTTGGTTCGCTTGCCAAGCTGATTCGTTAGTTCGCAGACGTTTCATTACCCTGCTGGGTAACATTATCAGTGCAGCCTCCAATGAAGCGCTGTTGTGTTTTCCCGCCTGGTATTTGAACTCTGAGATCTGTTGGATTTGATTATCCCATTTCCGGTTTTCCTTCGCAGTGGTGTCTATATGGGGTCCTAGTTCTATGTGTTTGTTGATGGCCTTCTTGGTGGAGAACCAGGCCTCTAGGAATTCCCATGCTTGTCTCTGTTTGGTCTGTCCTTGGATCCTGGTGTTGTCCCAATCGAACTGTTGGTTTTCCTTATCCATGTGAATGGAGATGAGTGAGTATTGGTCGTGTCTTTTTGTTGCTAGTAGGTGTTCACGTACTCTTGTGGCCAGTTTTCTTCCTACCTGTCCAATGTAATGTTTGTTGCAGTCCTTACATGGAATTTTGTATATTACGTTGGTTCTGTCCATAGTGGGTAAGGGACCTTTGGTTCGAGTTCGCAGTTGGCGTAGTGTTGATGTGGATTTGTGTGTAACTCTGATGTCCAATGGTCATAGGAGTCTTGTGGTCAGTTCGGATATGTTCTTGATATACGGTCACGTGATGAGTGTGTTAGGGTGTGCAGTGTCTTCCTGTTGTTGTTCGTGTGTTAGGCATCATCAGATCCAGTTGTTCGAGTAAATACAGGTAAATACCGAACAACCGAGCAACAAAAAGACATGACCAATACTCACTCATTTCCATTCATATGATAAGGAGAACCACCAGTTCAATTGGGACAGGCCAAACAGAGACAAGCACCGGAATTCTGAGAGGCCTGGTTCTCCACCAAGAAGGCCATCAACACACAAGTAGAGCTAGACCCTTTACATACACCACTGCGAAGGAAAACCGGAAATGAGGTAATCAAATCCAACGGACCCCAGAGTTTAAATGCCAGGTGGGAAAACACAACAGCGCTTCATTGAAGGCTGCATTGATGATGTTACCCAGCAGGGTAAATGAAATGTCTGCGAACTGACGAACCAGCTCGGCGAGCGAACCAACCACAGCATCCACAACCCAAGCTATAAATCTACTCAAGAACCTTAAATATGTTGTTTGTACAAAGAAGGAGAGATTTCCACATAATGCACAAATGTATTGTCAGGCTACTTCATTTGTAATAACTTGCATTTTAACACGTGACTTTCTAGGAATTGTACGCCATTTTTCTGTGAAAAGTGAATCAAAAGACATGAATATATAATATTTTACCCATTTGTATTATAGCTATTTTGGAGCACAGTTCCTTGGGTATGGCACCATAATGGTGATGGTAGAATTTGATAGTTGTTTCTGCAGAATGATAAAAACAGAGGAGGTAGAAATTTCTTGAATTTGGCACTATTGCGCTAAATCATGCTAAAAGTGGCAGCATTGAGAGAAGTTAAGTAAGAGCTCAGTGCAGGGTTTGTAAGCATTGAAGCACAGGTTTTCAGCTGTTGTAACAACATGGGAGGAAATGATAGACTTTGCCCTTGAAGTTCGGTTGGAGAGAGGACTAGGGATTTGACAGAATCAGCATTTCAATATTTCTAACTGGCATAGGAACTGCAGCAGTTCTGTAAGAAGTGACAATACCATGCAGGGGTCTGGGATTCAGCAGCAATGAGGAGAAAATCCTGGAACAGAGTGGGGCTGGTGAGAAAGGCACCAGCATCTGGTGAAATTGAGGAAGATCAAACCATTGATGTGTCACCACTTGAAGGAGAATGTAGAATCTGTGAGCTAGACAAAGAATTAGAATTCCCACCATTGGGATTCATACAATGAATCATCTCATTCATCTTTGTCCACAACAAGCCTCACAGTCTCATATTATCAGATCTATAATTTGTTCTGGTTATTCTGCATTTGTTAATATTGTTCTGCTTTTACTATGTTGTCCATGTGGTAAATTATTCTCTTAACCTATCACTGGTGGGTCTCTAGCAGTATTAATCATCTCAGTTGAAGATAATGTTTTGTTTAATGAAAGAGTTTGTTATGGCATTTAATGCACAGGGATTTAAAGTCACTGAAAAAGTCCCATGATATATTTACTAAACGTTATTCATAATTTTTGCCACCATCTCAGAGATGGTCTTTGCGGGTTATATCCATTTTGATGTCTGTTAGCCTGTTCTTTGCTCTGTTTCACAGTTGAATTCCTGTTTATAACTGAAAGAATAGGAAGTTATTGATGTGTAACAAATAAATTAGGAAAGGTTCTTAAATTCATCCTGTGGAGGACTTCTTGTTGAACATTAAGAAAGTAAAATCTTTCTTATTAGCATTTTTTCAATTCATACA